ATCTTATATTTAGAACTAAAATTAACTTAATAATTAGATCCTATATTAAGGATTAGAGGAGCATCATATTATGAATACCTAATGATTTTTATTGGCGTACAATTTATACCTTCATGTTATTGTGCTATCTCAAAACCTTATTATAAGAGTTGTTTGATTAATTTGAATTATTAAAAATGCCTAATAAATTAATTAAGGTTAATATAATTTTTTATCTCTGAAATTTGAGTCCATTTTGATTTTGGTTCGTCAAATTTCAAACTTGTGGTTTTAGTCCTAGAAATTTCGCCTGTCTTAAAATACTAGTCCTTAACGATACAACAGTATTAAAATCTGCTGAACTGTCATCGATGATATTAAAAGTGGTGATGTAGACTCACTAGATAATACTTAACTAGATCTTATATGGATAATAGAGTGCAATATAGTGAATAACTTTTGAAAACAAATAGCAATAAAGAAAAAACAAGAGGCTAAAAAGCTACATTTTTAGGACTTGTTCTTTTTTTCCCCTCTCCTGTTATCCATACAAGATCCAGTTAGGTGTCATGAGGTGAGTTTACACTATCACTTTAATGCTGTTTATGACATTTTAGTCGATTTTGACATTGTCACACCTCGGGAACTAATGTTTTAACACGGACTAAACTCTAATGACTAGAACCATGAGCTTGAAATTTAAGAAACTAAAACAAAAATAAACCCAAATTTTAAGGACAAAAAATTATATTAACCCAATCTCTATGTATACTGTTAGATCATATATCATTTTATAAGATATGTAAATTAATTTGAGAAAAATAATAAATATGAGAGACAAAAAAATTAAAGTCTTATATTAAAAATCAAATCCAACTCTATAACTTGCTTCTACGTTAATCACAAAGTACAACTCATTTTTTTAAACTACGCATAGGTATTTTCTATTGGAGACAGTCTTATCGGCATTAAATATGAGCATTTTTTCTAGCATGGATTTGAACTTTAATTCGTCATATTATGAGGAACTAATCATTTTCACTAAATCCAATCCTTATTAGTAGAGTACAACTGATTTAGAAATACATAATTTATAATATATACAAAAATTAGTTGTAATAATTATTGTAATTTATAATATATACAATTGTAATTTATAATTTATAATAAAACTTAGTTATAATTTATAATATATACAAAAAATATATAGATAAAGACACAATCTTATTTGAGGTAGTGTACTCCCTCCTCTCTAATATAGCCTATAATAATTATTGGGGGTTGGATTTATTTTTAAATATAAAATTTCAATTATTTTTTTATATTTATAATTTCTTTCTAAATATTTTAGACTCTTTATAATTAACTAATTTATTTTAGTTTTTTAAATCTATCAAAGTTGTTTAAGTAACTATCATATCATACGTCAAGAAAGACGGAGTATTCTTTTTTCTTAATATATATTTTGGGTAATGTTAGACCCAAATAGAGGTCAAACACAGTCTTGAAAATTTTTAAGGAATTAGTATATTATGTTCACCTAAAAATTTTAAATTTAATTCAATAGCAGCCAACCTGTCATGAGCACTAATAATCAATTTTAAGAACAAAAACAATATTATTAGCAGTACCAAGGCAGCCGCAGCCCCCATTTATTAGTATAAAAAAACTTTGGTGCGTCCCTCGCTCTGACCTCGTATGCCAGTCGCTTTCTACGTTCCTTGTCTTTGTAGTCTCGAGTTACTCCTCCGATCCTTATTATAAGATCCAATTTGACCTTTTATTTGGTCTTAATTATAAGACCCAATCCATTTTCTCTCTTATATTTATGTATTTTTTTCCAAGATAATCCTTCTAATAATAATAGTTTTAGCCAATATACTTAATTAGCAAGGATATTTTAGGAATAACAACACTTATTTATTATAAATAATCAACTTAACTTACTTCCTTAATCTCCTCAAATAAGTCAATTGGGTCTTATAATTAGGACGGGAGGAGTATTTACTTATTTTTTTCCTTCGATCTGATTATACTATGTAGTAATTTTACGGGAAAAAAAATGAACTAAAAAGATAAGCACGCGAGAAATTAGAAATTAGAATGGTGGCCGGCTGGAGGATAAGAAACGACTAGTTTCATGTGAATTGGAGTTATTTTTTAATGAGAACTATTTACAATCGATAAAGATATTTTAAGAAAAAAATTATAAATTTACAAGCCAAAATAAATTAAAATATTATATTTAAAATTAAAATAAATTTTTTAATTATATTTAGAGTTGGAAGAGGTATTTTTAAATTTGCTTAGGTTTAGTCGCATACTTAGTTATTCATTTGCAAAAATAATAATAAACATATAAAATAGATTTTATATTTAAAATTAATATTAATTTTTGTGTGTATCTTTTTCCAGATCTGTACAAAAATGAAATAAACCCTGAACCGTCACTGCTTACGCAACCACGAGCCCAGGTCCCCGCCCACTTCCACTTACCCCTATATGGGCTGGCTGGATGCTCGTACTATAAATAATATACTCCGTCCTGTTTTAAATATAAAAATAAAATAGTTCTTCTATTTAGATATATTTGTAATCTTTCTTCTTCTTTTTTTTTCTGGTGAATTTTTTACATAGGAATATCGGCTAGATCCAATCACTTATCACATCCCATTTACTGCCTGAAGGATCGTATTATTTGTAATCTTTTCATTGCATATTAATATACCCCCGAGTAGAGAGAAATTTTTTTCATATAAATGTATAATTTTAATTCTTATTTATTATTTTATTGATTTTATTTTAGAGGATATAATATATATTAAATAGGAATGAAGTTAGAAAATTATTAAATTTTAATAAAGAATTAATAAAGTTAAAGATTTTCTTTTAATTTGTTTGAAATATATTATAAATGACTTATAAAAAGTACGAATTAAAAAATATATTATGATTTTCATTGATATACAATTTATGCTTTCATGTTAATTTAACAAATCTATAATACAACCTAATAATGGGCAAGGGATGATATATGCAAAATACCATGATTTAATTAATAATCCACATCCTACGCAACATAATGTATTACTATCTCCGGTTTTTACTATAAAATCTAGTTTCCTATTTACAAACTTTTTTTTGCCAGCGTTGTTTATTTAGAAAATAAATCTTATATTAAGAATGTGAAATAGTTTTTTTTTAAAATTTTTTTGGTCAAGTTGAATACTAAAGTAAAAGTCTAATCTAATCTTGTTTGACCTAAGGAATATATATTATTCCTTTCGCTTCAAAATATAAGTATAAATTTTTTAAAGGAATTTGTTCTTTTATAGGCTATAATGTGAATTAATCTAATTATTTAATATATTTTTTATTTTTATTCTCCCACATACTACCTCTTCATAAATAAGAGTGTTTTAGAAAAATAAATTATATTTTTACATACTATTATTTTTAATCAATTTTAACTACCTTCATGAGTTCCATAATTTAATCATTGGATACTTATATTTTGAATCGAGGGATTATTATAAATTTTTTCAGAGCATTAATTGATTTTATGAGAATACTTTTATTGGTACATCTTAATGGATAAAATTTTTATTATTATGAAAATTTTAAGAAATTAATATTTTATTTTTAATTAAGATGTTAAATTGATTTCTTAACTTGATACTATATAATAATAAGGCTTAATTATTGAGTTTTATAATTTTAAAGAATGTTATATTTTTATCTTGATATTATTTTTAAGGGAATACTATATCTTAGACGGAAGTTATTATATATTTGTTACTGCCTCTAGTCCTATGTATAAGAGCCAGTTGACTAATTTGAGGAGATTAAGAAAATAAGTTAAGTTAGTTATTTGTAATAAATATATGTTATTTTTTAAAAAAAATATCTTTACTAATCAAATGTATTAGCTAGAGTTATCATTGTTAGAAAGATTATCTTAAAAAAATATAAATATGATAGACAAAGTGAATTGAGGTCTTATATTTAGGACACAAATAAAAGCTAAATAATGTCTTATATTAAAAATCGAAAGTAGTAATAAATAAGCTAGTTTTTATTGTTTATAATTTTTTAGTAATTTGTTTGGAAATAAGGCAAAAACCTTAGTCTTACATGATCATGCGAAGTTTTGGTTCAAATGCATGAAGATTGAGCAACGCGTTTGTGGTCAACTCAATCATTGTTTGGTCTTTGTACGTTCCTATATTGAAAAAAACACAACGTATGAACATAACTTAAGTTTAGAAAACCAGCCGTTTCGTCCCACATAATAGGCAACTTAAACTTTTGTTTTGTTTTTTTTTTTTTTTTGTGGGGGAGAGGCGGGGGATTAAACAAAGTTAGTACATTGAGCCAGGTAAGGCGAGTTTGGTTTGAGTGATCAGCGTGGCGATCAACGTCAAGATATTTCTTCTTGTAGTGAGATATACATAGTTTTTAATATAAGACTTTTTTAGATGAAACAAAAGTATTTTTAAATCATACTCCTCCGGTCCTTAATATCTGACCCAATTGTTAAGTTAATTTTAGTCTTAAATATAAAACTCATTTATCATATTTATCAGTTTTCTCTAAATTATTTCTGTGAATACTCCCTCAACCATAATCAAGTAGAAGAGGGAGATGGGGTATTAAGAAAGATGATTATGATGTTTAGAAAAAATATGTCACATTCTTATAATTAACTAATTTATGTAACTTTCTTAATTTAATCAAATTTAATTAAATAAGTTTTATATTAAGGATCGGATAAGTATTAGACTTGAAACTAATTTTTTTGAGCTAGGAGCGGTTAAAAAATAACCCTCTCAACAAATATGTTGTCTAAAATTTAAACTTATGTTCTCTTTTTCAAGTGAGACGGCTACTACTTTAATTACAAATTGCATTATAAAATTGCAAAGGAGAGCGCCCGCCTAATATTATATCCTTCTGGGGAGGCCATCACTAAACCATGCACCATCATCCTTTTGCTATTTAAGTGTCTATTGATATCTTCATTCTCTTCATTCTTCATACCGTCGTTGACTCAAGAGGCTCATCACGCTTTAGAAGAAAGCATGGCACTCACGGCGGCGGCTCCGGTGAAGGTGGTGGCTATCTGTGGTTCGCTGCGTAAAGACTCGTACAACAGAGGCCTCATTCGAGCTGGTTAATCCGTCAACTACCGCTCTCCTCGTTCTCTCTATCTCTCTCTGTTTTGATTGATTTTGATTGTCAGGTTAATATATGGTTCTGATTTGGGGATTTGGATCTGTGATGCAGCGATCGAGTTAAGCAAAGGAGACATTGAAGGTCTCCAGATTGAGGACGTTGACATCGCTGCTCTGCCGATGCTGAATACAGATCTTGAAGAAGATGGGAGGTTTCCGGTGGAAGTGGAAGCGTTTCGCCGGAAGATTCTGGAAGCCGATTGTTTTCTCTTCGCTTCTCCGGAGTATAATTATTCCGTCACTGGTGATTTGCTTGAGTCTCTTTCTCACAAAACGATGTTTGTTTACAGGATGTGGATGATGTTTCTTTAGAGGTCTCCAAGCTGATAAGACGACCTTTTTTCCAAAAATTTGTCTACACTTTTTTTTTTAATAAAAAAAGAAGCAACTTCGTTTTCATTTCAAATTAAAAAAAAAAAGGTCCTGTGAATGATTTTGCTGATATTGTCCTTTCTATTTTGTCACTCACGTTTGCTTTTTCTTTTTTTTTCTTTTAAAAAACTTTTTTCCTTTTATTAATCGTTTTGTTAAAATGTTGCATTACTAATTTTGAATTGTTGATATCATTTAAATTATTTGATTATTTAACTTCGCATTTTTATTTAAATGATATTACAATCCTTTTATCATTTATTAAACGGGGAAAAACTTAGCTCAATTATCTTAAGTTTTTCAATCACACATATAGTCATGTGTCCTTTTTTGTTTAATATGAATTTATAATTAAATATTATTAAATTCTAATATTTTAAAAATAAGACACATGTTTATGTATGATTGAAAAACTTGATATAATAGATATAAAAAATTTGATATAAGTATGTCCTTATTAACTTATAGTTACTGATTAATTAAATGAAATAATAAAAGCACAATGGAAAATTTCAACAAAAAATGTAAACCGGAGAGAGTAATAAAAGTTATATACTCTTTGTTGGCAAAAGAGAAAAAGTTATACTCTTTGCAGTAATTATTAATAATTACTCATTAGAAGAGAGAATTACAATGATATCTGAGATAAAAAAAATAATTACTTGAAGTTTTAATGATAAGAGAACAATTGTTTACTATTTTGAAACTTGTCATTACAAGTTGCTCTATAGTTTTTTAGGATTTTTTAGTAATCATATTTTTTATTTGGGGCTTCATTGTCATTCTCCCCGAATAAAAAGTGATCTTGATAAACAATATTGAAAAAAAATCAATGAAATTCTTTTAAAAATCATTTTTAAGGGGGGAAAAAGTCACCACACAAAAATTACTTACAAAACTCATTTTCGTCAAAATCAATTTTGAAAAGTCATATTACTCAGAATCAGATTGTCCACAACCCCCACTAAAATTCTTATTTAATCAATCCAATTATAATTAAAATAATATAAACCTAACAAAAATAAACAAAAATATTTATGCATAATCTAGAAAACAGTAATATTTTAAAGTGCCAATTAATAAGTAAATAGAACATTCATGTGCATAATTCAACAAAACAAAGCTACTAAAGCAGCAATTTGAAGGGCTGCTATTTTTTAAAATAAAATTTGTAAACTCAAAATGGTGTCATTTTAAATTTAGCAAGAAAAGGAAACAAATATTAAATCCCCCTTGATCGACCCATCAAAAACTCTTAATCAGGTCGGTTGGTGGACTAGTTCATCGGTTCACTAGTCAGATCAAGCAACCTGAGTTGAATTTTAATACAACGTGTCTTATTTTTGTAAACTAGAGTATGTTAATTCATGTTGTATAATTAACAGCACCAATGAAGAATGCACTAGACTGGGCATCTAGGCCTCCCAACATGTGGGGGGGCAAAGCTGCGGCCATTGTAAGTGCAGCAGGGCTGTTTGGTGGTGCAAAAGGCCAATCCCATCTTCGAGACATTGGAGTCTTTCTTGATCTTCATTTCGTCAACAAACCTGAGTTCGTCCTCGACATCATCCACCCTCCTCCAAAGCTCGATGCTCATGGCCACTTTCCTGATGAACATACTTTGCTTAGGTTGAAGAAAATCCTTCTCTCTTTGAAAGCTTTCTCCCTCCAGCTCCGATCTAACAATAACAACTGATTATTATTGATGCTTAATCCACTTCAGTTTCTAGAATAATTTCTGTTATTTGTGTTTAGAAATCTGTTGGTTTTCGATCAAAATCATAATCTGGGGGTAACTTTGATTAGTTTTGGGAATCTGGTTTTGTCATGTATGGATGGATGACTGTAGTTGGCAGGCGGCAGCATTCAGTTATGTTGGGGTTTAAAATTGAAATGGATCAATGCATTTGAGCATTCAGTTTTTCTTCATGTAGTATATATTGTGAGCTGTGTGCATGTTAATTTCTATAAAAGGGTTTTGAAAAATAATATACTACTTCTGATCCTAATTATAAGAACTCGTTTTTTATAATTAAAACCAAAGATAGTATTATCCAAATTTATCAGCACGATGTTAATCAAGGCGCTAAAACTCAAAACCAGCCCATAATAAACTAATTGAGATGTTGAGTTAATAGTCAATGGATCATATTGAAGTTAACCTGAAGTTAGACTGCTTATATAAAAATAATATAACTTAACTGACAATAGCAAACTACAACAATATTGATAATCACCAATAATAAATATATAAAAAATATAATAATAGTTTAATTGTAACAATAACAAAATATAATAATATTGATAATATTCTTTTAACATCCTTTAATAACTAAAATTAAGAACAAAATGATGTCATTTGCTTCTTTTGTACGCAAAAACCAGCCAATCTACCGAACTTGCCCGGGTTGATCGTGTTATATAACTACTCTTCCGGTCCTTAATATAAGACTCATTTAACTAATTTGATTAGATTAAGGAAGTTAGGTAAGTTGGTTAATTATAAAAAATGTGACACTTTTTTCCTAAAATACCATAATCATCTTTTTTAATACCTCATTTTCCTCTTCTACTTGATTATGGTTGAAGGAGTATCCATAAGGGTAATTTAGAGAAAATTGATAAATATGAGAAATGGGTCTTATATTTAGGACCAAAACCAACTGACCAATTGGGTCCTATATTAAGGACCGGAGGAGTAGTTCAATTTAGGTCATATTAGGTTGAACTTCCATCAGTTCATGCACTAAATCATATCAGACCAATGATCCATTTAGCGCGGTTTTTTTTTTTAATATATGAATTAACTGGTTCAGTTTGATTCTTTTTAAACCATGATCTTAATTGAGACTTGAGATGACTTAATTAGGCGGTTTATACATTTATTTTTGAAATTAGACAGCTTATTTATCATCATAAACCATTGCTCAACTTGAATATGAAATTACTCATTGCATGAAAGTGCGTTTAGCATTTTGAAATGTTTTTTCAAGTGCATCCAACATTTTAAAATATTTTATAATGTATTAAGTACCTAAAGTGTTTTTTTTCATGCGCATTTTGTCACACCTCAATTTATTACCTAATTTTATATTAAGTAGGAGCAATTGGAACCATTTTACAAGTACTAAGTTAGAAAAATTTGAATTTTTAAATTTAATTTCTCGGGTTACTATTCATGGTAACCCTAACTTTTGTCAAACTTTGAAAGTCATAATTAATTCTAAAAAAATCAAAATGATATGATTCTAAATCCTACTTAAAGCTTGAAATGAGCTTTTTAAAAGAAAAATGTATCCAAAGTATGAACTTAACTCATGTGTGCTCAGTTTCAATGACAAAGTGCATTGTTTATTTAGTAACTTTTTTAATTTTTCAGAATTTACACCTAATTTTAGAGAGGCATAACTTTTTGTATAAATTTCAAATTTCATAAAATACTACTCATTTTAAAGCTAAAAATAATGAACTATTAAAATGTTAAGTTTCATGTCCAGACTCTTTTAATTGCTCAAAATTTTGCACAATCAAATTTTGCCTCTAATTAGGTCATCTTTCATCTCTTTTATGCATAACTTGTCAAATTAAAACCATAACCGCTCAAACATGATTCACCCACATATCATATTATATAACAAGTAATTTCACATAATTTGTAATCTCTAAAAGTCATCCAAATATCAATCCACAAATATTACAAAACTTATACATAAAATTCATTATAATTTCAATAACATTTTTTTTCATAGAGACATCACTTGCTTGCCCTTGGCCACACCACTTGTCTGCCCTATTGGTGGTATTTAAACATAGAAAGGAATGAGATTTCATAGAAATCTTAGTAGCAAAGGATTTACAACAATAATATTAAACATGCAAAATATATTACAATCAATTCTACAAAGCATCTCTTTACTCTATGCCATGTAAAAATCATATCAAGTCATTCTAAATTAGTACATTGATGCATCTTGCCAAGGCATACCATACAAACAAATCAAGTACATTACCATCAACAATTTCAAGTACCACATGGCATAAATTCAAAGCAGTATATCATGTAATAATCAAACAAGTTAATATTAAAATTATAAATTTCATGCTACCTCTTCGAGTTTAATCACACGAATACCTTTCTTAGTTCTTGGGCCTCTAATTACTCACTAAAATAACCTAACAAACAATAAGAATAATGGCATTCCAAATCAATTATATCATTCATTACATAATTCTTCCTAAAACCCTACCCCTTTTTCCATTATTTTAGGGTTTTAGTATCACCAATATTTTCATAACTCCTATAGGTGTTTCCTACACAATTTTTTATGTAGAATCTATTTTTGAACCTTAGATTCATTAATCCAATTCTCCTATCACTTCTCCTCTTGGCCGAATGGGGTCCCTTAGAGTTTAAAATTTTATTTTCAATTTTAATGCTTTGAAGCACATGTTCTCCTTATATCCCTATACAAAATCATCTTCTAAATCTATTGGAAGTATCAAAATAACAAAAATCAAACCTTAGGATATCCATCTTTACTTTGCTGAACAGTCCCCTCTTTATATACAATTTGATAACTTTCAAATAATAAGGTTTAACGACTACCTAACAATCATTTCCAATCCTTTAAACCATATAACAACTTAATTTCAATCATAATCTATCAAAATAATTTCATGCAGCACCTATCTCTTAGGGTTTCAATCACCAAACTCCATCAAAACTAAGTCTAAAACCATCAAACCATATAGAATCAAGTACTAGAGAGGACAGTAAAGCTTTTACCTTGATTAAACACTTGATTCACTTTGGTTTTGGCTTGTTTTTTCTCTCCTCTTCTTCCTCCTCAAATGGACAAATGCTCTCTCCCTGTAAAGTTCCAAATAGGCCAAAAGAAAGGTGAAAGAAATAGAGAGGAAGTGATATATATATATATATATATATATATATAGACCTTGAATTAGCTTACCATGTGTCACAATCTTACCCTTGGTTTTTATCACATAACACATGTACAAATCTCCTTCATCCTCCCTTGATTTTCCACCACATGTGAGCTGAAGTTTCCTCCACATTTAATGCAGATTGCCACCTCATAAGATACCTAATCATTCACATGTGAAAATTTCACATGTTTTATTTAAAAATCTATTCTTCCAACTCTATCCTTTTACAAACTATATGATTCTATTTAGGTCCCCAATCCTCATAGATGGCACCATTCAAGGCAGAAAAATGGGAAAAAATTTGGCTCCACCAAGCTTAACGTTACCACACTGTGTAATTTTACGTAATCAGTTGAATTTTTCTCTAATCCTGTTACATTCACTGCCTCCTAAAATTTGTTTACTTACACCAACAGCAACCTTTCAATGAAAAATGATTCTCCAAATTTTCTCATATTTTATTTTGGTCTATAACTCCTCCAATTGAATTTTCTCTGAAATCAACCCTTTACCGATAAAATTTTCAGCTTTAAATAATTTAAAACTAACCTCTACATCTCTAGAGGTTGAAAATAATTTTAAAATTCATAATAATATTTAAAATAATTTTTGTAATTTTTTCATGAATTATTGAGGCCCTTATATATTTTAAATAATTCAATTTAGCCAATATTTCTTTAATTAGCCAAAATTCTAGAAACATATAGAAAATTATAAAATAAATTATTTTCATCCCATTTTCATCTTCCAGACCTCAAATACTATTTTTTACCTTCTATTATATTTTTCATAATTTTTGAGAAATTTTTTAGAATTTTCAGTCCATATTCCTATTCTATTCAATATTGATCGGATATTTCAAAAATAATATTCTGGTCCCGGTCTGGTCTTCTGTCTCTCTATTAGCTACCCTGCTTAACCCATGACCTAATTTATATTCATCATTTTTAGGATTAAAATTAATAGAATATGACATATTCAATATCTGAAAGAATACTTCAGCATGCAGAATGCATCAAAATATATCTTAGGATGTTAAACGCACTTAAAAAATATTTTAAATAAAATAAATTAAAATTTTATATTTAAAATTAAATAAAATTCCCCAATTAATTTTCACATTAGGTACGGGAGGCAGGATTATTCACATGCAGGAAACAATGTGACTGTCCATTGGGGCGGCCGCAGCCCCCTTTTAATAAAAACTTCGGTCTCCCCCCTTGTCCTTAGTACCCGAATTCAAAGAACCCAACCCAAAACTAACCATTTCGTGTTTATATATAGTTATATACACATACGTATGTACGCGCGTGTATAATATATATACATATAAGTCCCGTTTGCTATAAAATATTAAAAATGAGGGACATGAACTGTAATTATAATTGAGAAAAAAATTAAAGAAACATTTAGCATAAATAATTGTTTGTTATATAGAATTAAACAAACCTATAAAGGTCATATTAGGAAATACCACTTTTCTCATGATACTTCCTAATATTACATACTCTTCTGGTCCTTAATACAGGACCTAATTCTTAAATTAGTTTTAGTCTTAAATATAATACTCATTTCTCATATTTATAAATTTTTTCTAAATTACCCCTATGGATACTTTCTCAACCATAATCAAGTAGAAGAGGGAGATGGGGTATTAAGAAAGATGATTATAGTGTTTTAGAAAAAATGTATTACTTTTTTTTTATAATGAACTAACTTACCTAAGTTTTTTAATTTAATCAATTAGTTAAATGGGTCTTATATTAAGAACTGAAGGAGTATATAGATTTATCTCATCCCATGTAATAATTAATCTCTCATACTAAATACCTTTTTAATAAAAATTTTTAATCTTAATTTTTATCTTTCATTTTCAATGCTCTCTATCTGCGGGGTGTTTGGATAAAAACAAACCATGGTTTGGAGAATAGTTTATAGGGAAAAATTTATTTTTGAGAATAGATTTTGAAAAAATAGATTTTGTGAAAAAGTGATTCTGATAAAGTGAAAGTGTTTAGATAGTTGTTATCAAAAGTATTTTTTATATGTACCAAGTACTAAAAAAGATATAAGTTAATACAATAATTAGATTTTATAATATATTTTTATTTGACATAATAAATTTGTTAATAATATATTTTTTTATCAAGATAATAAATAATATATAAAAAAATATAATTAATAAATAATTAATATATGTATATATATTTATAAAATATAAGATTAAATATATTTTTAGAAAAATGATTTTTTTTTGCAAACAAAAAGATTTATTTTGCCTTAAAGATTTTAAATTCACAACTAAATTTTTTAGCAGCATATCATTTTTGATTTTTAATACAAGAACTATTTTGATATTCAATTTGGTTCTAAATATAAAATTTCAATCTATTTTATTTTTCATATTTATCTTTTTTTTTAAATAGTCTTTGTAGTAGTTGTACATGTTAAATTTTTCATTAAATGATACTTCTAACTAATATACATGATTAGAAAAGTATTTTAGGGAACAACATTTATTTATTACAGATAACTAACTTAACTAATTTTTTTAATCTATTCAAATTAGTTAATTAGTTCTTATATTAAAAACCAAAAATAGTATTACAATGTAAAAAAAAAAAGGATCACATTTTCAAAAAACAATTTTTTTTTTCATGAAACTATAATTTAGATGGGTCAAATAATTATTTTAGAGCTCAATTATGATTTTATAAAAATGTAAAGTGTTTGATAATTTTTTATGCCAAACCTTGGTTTCCTAAAGTTATTTTGGCAAGAGTGCCAAAATAAAGCAATAGCACTCACTAACCCCACATGCTGTCTTGGGAAACATAATAAACAAACAAAAGGAACGCACACTCACCTCACCCCTTTTCCGCTCTATTTATTCTGTCAATTTTTCGATCTCTTCAGTCCTGAAAGTGTTCATTGATCTCTTCACACTTTGAAGGAAGCATGGCACTCGCAGGGTCTGTCGGTGCGGCGGTGCCGGTGAAGGTTGCGGCCATCTGCGGTTCACTTCGTAAAGCCTCATACAACAGAGGCCTCCTTCGAGCTGGTTAATTACTCCATTATTAACGTTTTCCTTTTGCGTTATTAGGATTCTTTCCAGAACTTGGCGCATTATATATCTCATGCTGTTCTGTCTGTTATAATCAAAATTTTCTCTGAAGAATGAATCAAATGCTTCTTCTAATCTGTTTGCACACACTGTCTCTGTTTCTTTGCTTGTTCGGTTGTACGGATCTGATTTGTGGAATTTGGATCGTTAGCGATCGAGCTAAGCAAGGGAGCCATTGAAGGTCTCCAGATTGAGCACGTCGAGATCGCTGCTCTGCCGATGCTGAATACCGATCTTGAAGAAGAAGGGAGGTTTCCGGCGGAAGTTGAAGCATTTCGCCAGAAGATTCTAGAAGCCGATTGTTTTCTTTTCGCTTCTCCTGAGTATAATTTCTCAGTGTCTGGTAAATCCTCCCTTCTGTTTCTTTCCAGAAGCTGCTTTTCTCTGCCATGGATGGTTCTGTTGACACTTCATTTTGGTTCCTCGTAACCATTTTCGCCCCTTACAAAATTACTTAAAGTATTTATTCTAATTTTTATATATTACTCTTTTTGCGTTACAAAATAGGTTTTATAATCATGTATATTAATTAGAAGTACTAATCGATAGAATATTTAATAAGTGCAACTACTATAAAGATTACTTTAAAAAAATATATAAATATAATAAACAAAATGGACTGTAAGTATTTAGAACAAATTGAAAGTTAAACTAATTCTTATATTAAAAATTGGTGATGGAATTATTAACACTTTTTGATTCACTTGCTTTAATTAATTGGACGGGAGCGTATTAAGGTTATCCTAATATTATCCCCCCAAACAATTTGTTTTGTTTTAGAAATATCTTTTACAATTAGAGTAATATGAAAAAATATTCAGACATCAAATTATAAGAAGTTATCTTTTAACAATTTAAATCAATGAATATTTAGATTAAAAGTTGTAATCATGGGGGACAACCTAGCTGCTTAAAATGCACAGTTATTGGTTTTGCTTTTTTGGCCATTACCATTATTTATATTTAGGAGATAGTTGGATCCGACGGATGTGATGATTATTTGTTAATGAACTAAATGAACACATCCGTTCCCACAAAAATTAAAAAAGACATATAATTTACTTTTGGTAGTTATACTCTATATATAGAACCAGTTTATGATTATTTTTGTTACATGATTAAACCCTTAACTACTACTTATGCCTTATTCCACCTTTGCAATAATGTGATGTAGTTTGCTTTAATTTAAAAGAAATTTGCGTAAATTCCAAAATAATTTGTCACCCTTTGAATAAAATTCAAAATAGTGATCTACATGAATCATCAATATTTTATAAGAAAATTGTAGATTTGATTTTTAACTTCATGCAAAATTTCATTTTTTTCCTTAATTTTATAAAGTAGTTTTTTTTCAGTCATCTAATTCTGACACTATCAGGTTCATTAACCCAAAAAAAAGTTATTACTGAAATTTTAGTCGTTAACAAAACATTCTGAAATATTACGTTTAATTTTTTAAATAATAATTATTAGCATATGCAATCTAAAATATATTAGGGTTAAGATCCAAATGACGCCTTATAAAATTAAATTGAAGGACTAAGCTGAAATTTTATCTAATATTAGAGGATAAAAAATAAACTTTTATCTTTTATAAAAACATATAATTGTTTATAAATTACGCTGGCAATAAAGGAGTGGAAGCACAGTAAACCAACCTCTCTTCTTTTACTTTTGCTTTTCTTTTCTTGATTCCTTCCACGCACAACCACTCACTCACATAACATTAAATCTGTTACTTTTAGTGAACATGGGTATTTTATTATTGTAATAGCACCAATGAAGAATGCGCTTGACTGGGCATCAAGACCTCCCAATGTGTGGGGAGGCAAAGCTGCGGCCATTGTTAGTGCAGGAGGGAGCTTAGGTGGTGGAAGAGGCCAATTTCATCTTCGTCACATTGGAGTCTTTCTTGATCTTCACTTCATCAACAAGCCTGAGTTCTTCCTCAATGCATTTCAGCCTCCTCCTAAGTTCAATCCTCATACTGGCGACTTGATTGATGAAGATGCTAAGCTCCGATTGAAAGAGGTCCTTCTCTCCTTGAAGGCTTTCTCTCTCCAACTTCAACCTAAAACCTGAATCATCATCAGACGAATGTTCTCGATCATAGCATGCATTGAGCTCAAACTGAGACATGTATAAAATTGGAAGATGTCTTTTTGCTTTTTTTTAACTATGTTTTTCTTCATGTTCCTCGAAGGTTGTTCAATAATTTGTTGTGCGTTTACAATTTGAGTAAGAGGGTTTTGATTATCAATTAATGCGTTACCTTATGTCCTTGTCTATACTATATGATCCTGTTCTGTTCCTACATTTTGTTTATGGGGATACTCCTTCGTGAGGCAGTTTATTAATGGTAAGAAAATATATATTTATTTCATATGGCTCTTGTTTATATTGGTGTATTATGTCATTGGAAAAATTATAATCCTAGGAGTTTTTTTTTGGGTACACATAATTCTAAGAGCTCGTAATGAGAATAGTTGTTTGCATATTTTGGGCTTTAAAATTTGTTGTTGGGCTTAGTTGAGTTCCAATTTCCAGCGGCCACATGTTATTGTCATGGCAGTGGCAATACCATGTTGAAGGTAACAGCAAGGTAGAATTATATATAGTTCATCTGTTACGTAAGGCCACAAATTAAAACACTGCGGATAAAAAATTACGCTGGTCGAATTTCTTCATTTGACATTAGTTAAATTTGATTGATGGTGATATAATATATATGTGTGTGTGTATATATAGCCATAGGAAAAGGAAAGGTAAAGTAATATTATTACATTGAAATGGGAATCTGGAATGGTCAAAAACAGCATATTTTACATATTAATCCTCCAAATAATATGCAAAAAAGCGGCATTTGGAAATTATCAGGAAATGATAGCTATATTATCCTATCTTTAAGATTGAGCTACCATTATCTACTTTCAAATCTTAAATGTTGCTTTGCATATTGCTCCATCTTTCCCAAAAATTATCATGTACACAAGAATATCATAATCCAATTATTGATGGCTGATGGCTTAGTATATCCTACTCATAAAAATATGAGGTTTGAAGAAGTGGGTGATGAAATTTTCAATGATGTAAAGTCTAGGTCTTTTTTTTTTTTTTTGAGTCATCAAGAATAGGTAGTCATTACTTCATCACACATGATCTTTTCAGGGATTTAGCAAAATCTGTGGTAAGAGATTTTTTTGGGTGCAGTTAGAAACGGATCAAGCGCAAGATATGTCAAGCAAGACATGCTACTTTTCATATATAAACAACAAAAATGCAAATCTTGAGATTTTCGACAAGGTTCTCAAATGCCATCGATTAAGACGTGGTTTCCTCTGATTGGGTGTAGAATTCGGGTACAGTTTTGCTATAGATGGTGATATAATGTTCAGAATTTCTTATCTCAAGTACTTACAAATATTATCTTTGAGGGGATCTCGGGATAGCAAAAAGTTGACAGGTGGTATTAGCAATTTAAAGTACTTGCATTATCAAAGGCAAGGAAAACCTCCTTCCTAAACCCTCAGATAAAGGCCCATCAGTAGGGGGAGTCAAAGTACAGCCTACCTTCAAGATTAAGAGTGTGAAGACGAAATCTAGACACGGATTAAACACGCCCTTAGAGGAACTCACCAAAGCATTAGCAGAAGCTTTGGGAGCTCCCATCCACTCCGATGACGACATGGCTTTCCTAGAAGCCACGGAAGCAGATTTTGAAGATGACTCAAATAACAAACGCTCAGCCATTGAGCGCTAATTCAACTCCTCTTAATGAATTGCTCAATACTTGTTTGGAACTGCCAGGGAGCAACATCTAAAAAATTTCATGTTGTTCTGAAATCTCTTCTCAAAGGTTTCAAGCCAGAAGTTATAGCACTATTGGAACCTCACATTTTGGGGATCTCAGCAGATTGTGTTATTAAGAAAACTGGTTACCCCAACTCCCACAGAGTGGAGGCAGCGGGCTTTTCAGGAGGAATTTGGATCCTTTGGTCTAGCAAAGTTAAGGTAAGGATCTTGCAAAATCACAAACAATTCATCCATACTCTTGTCTGTGATGATGCAGGTACATCAAAATTCCAATTCACAGAAATTTATGGGAGCCCCAATCCATCCCTTAGGGAGCATCTTTGGAAGTAGGGGTGGAAACAGGCCAGGCCAGGCCAGGCCTCACCCTTAACAGGCCTGGCCTGTGGTGAGGCCTGTTGGCCTGAGCCTGGCCTGCGGCCTGTGAAAGGCCTTTTAATCGGCCTGAGCCTGGCCTGTAATCAGGCCTGGCTTGGCCTGTGGCCTGTTAAGAGGCCTGTTTTTTTAATAAATTTTAAACACACATAAATCAATTCAAAATTATAATAATTCAACCTAATTGATCTAAAATACAAACAAAAAATATGAAATTATCAAATTAATACAATTTGTAAAACATGTCCCCTTAGGTCCAAAAAAAAATCTAATATGAAAAATTATTAGAAAACATAATTTCATTTTGATATAAAAATATCACTTCATCCTATATCTAGTATAAAAATTAGTTGATGACTAGATCTAGTTTAAAATATGAAACATCCTTAATCCCTTTTATATTTTAAATTTATCATTTATTCAGACTAATTTACTAACAAAATGATATTTGATCTTGTTGTTACACATGGTTGTTTTTTTTAAAAAAATATTACAGTTATTATAATTTATTTATTTATTTATTCAAATTAATTAAGTAACTATTATAATAAGAATTAGATTGAGCACACATATACACGGTCTAAAACATAATAGGTCAATTCTCTCTCTCTCTCTCTATATATATATATATATATATTCTATAAGCATGGATCAAATAAATGAATGATGCTTTTTTTTTAAATGCACTTATGTTTTCTTTCTCTGTTTAAATATGTGTCATTATACATATATCAATTATTTTTATTATAGAGAATAGAAATGAAATATCGCATGCAATAGGCTCTAGATAACACGTTTATGTGGATGGAGTTTTCTCAATTAACCAATTAGAATAACAAAATCCCTCCTATCAATTTATAATTTTAACATATAAAAAAAAAAGATAACAGGCCCAGGCCACCTGACAGGCCTGACAGGCTTACTGTCAGGCCTGAGCCTGGCCTGATAAAGCAAACAGGCCTTTTTACAGGCCTGAGCCTGGTCTAATATCTAAATAGGCCAGGCCAGGCCAGACCATTTACAGGCCAGGCCACAGGCCCCTGACAGGCCGCCTGGCCTATTTCCACCCTTATTTGGAAGGAACTCGGTAAACTCCAAGGTGGAAGGGATGCATGGTTGTTAGCAGGCGACTATAATGCCACTATCACGAACGATGAATGTAAAGGTGGAGCCACTCGAAACCCAATAGGAAGCAAAGCCTTCAGGAGCTTTATTGCTCATGTTGGACTCCTTGACTTGGGATATACAAGCCCAAAATATACTTGGAAGAGAGGGAATCTACTAGTCAGATTAGACTGGGCCTTATGCAACCAGCAATGGCTAGAATCCCATCCTAATACAGAAGTCATGCATTTGCCAATGATCCAAAGCGATCATAGGCCTATCCTCATCCAACTAAAGGGAGAACAACAGGTCACAAAGCCCCCATTTCGATTTTTTGCACCGTGGATCTCACACCCGGACTTCAAGGATCTAGTAACCTTAACCTGGACTAAAGGGAGAAGTCTAGTTGAAAACATTGAGCACTTCACTCTTGTGGCCCAAGACTGGAACCATAATACTTTTGGAATTATAGGTTGGAATAAGAGAACTCTACACAGGAGAATTAATGGTGTCCAAAAGGCACTTGAAAGGAACCCCTTCAACTCCTACTTGCTCGAGACAGAGAGAACACTCCTGGATGACTACGAGAATGTTTGTATGCAGGAAGAGATCCTATGGCTCCAAAAATCCCGTAGCCAGTGGATTTGCGATGGAGATAGGAATACTCATTATTATCATAGCAAAGCGTTAATTCGGCACAGACAAAACAGAATCTCTATGCTAAAAGACAATGATGGGAGATGGGTATCTGATCAGCACCAACTGAAGTCTATGGCGGCTAACTACTTCAAACAACTATATACACTTGAGGACGGCCAATTTGTGCCCTACCCATGTTCAGGTCAGTTTCCTCCACTTACTGATTCTCTGTCAATCCTGCTTGATGGCCCTATTTCAAAAGAGGAAACTAAAAAAGCGCTTTTTGACATGGCCCCTCTGAAATCGCCGGGAGTGGACGGACTGCACGCCATCTTCTTCCAATCTCAATGGGGAATAGTTGGTGATTTATTATTTCAGGAGGTTAAAAGCATCTTTGAAGGCAAAGACATAGACCCTCAACTCAACCGTACACTGATTACCTTAATCCCCAAGACGAGCTCCCCTTAATCCATAAAGGAGTTTAGACCAATCAGCCTTTGCACAACCATCTATAAACTGCTCACTAAGATCATAGCCAATCGGTTAGCACCAATTATGCCCACTCTCACAGCACCGTATCAAGCTAGCTTCATCAAGGGAAGGAATATCATAGATAATATCATTATAGCCCAAGAAGCTATTCACTCAATGAGAAAGAAGTCTGGCAGAAAAGGATGGATGGCGATTAAAGTGCACCTAGAGAAAGCCTTTGATAGACTTCGGTGGGACTTCGTTGCAGACACCTTGAAAGAAGCTTGATTACCCCATAGGCTTATCACCATTGTTATGAAATGCATCACGTCCACCTCCATGCAGGTCCTCTGGAATGGACAGCAATCAGAGACTATCACACCCCAACGGGGCATAAGACAAGGCGACCCACTCTCCCCTTATATCTTTGTTCTTTGCATGGAAAGACTCTCCCAGCTTATCTCTAAAGTTGTAGAAGATAAAAAATAGCAGCCTATCCGCCTACGTAGAAGAGGGCCCCCCCTTTCGCACCTCTTTTTCACTAATGACCTCCTTCTCTTTGGAGAAGCCAGCACAGCACAAGCAAAGATACTTAACTCCATCCTAGCTTCCTTTTGTGCCTCCTCGAGTCAGAAAGTTAGCCAACATAAAACCCGCACTTACTATTCTAAGAATGTTTCCCCTCCT